TATGCCAGCTGATCTTTGTACGCAATGGTGGCACCTGTATATTCAGTTGCAGACTTCAATCTATCCAAATTTGTATGAAAGATTTGTTGCATTTGAACTTTGAACAGTCACTTTTCATTGTATATTTAAGAAATATCTATAATAAAGCATAGACCAGAAAAATAGTCTTTTCAAAACACATAGATGTGCATGCTGGCCAATATCTTTACATTCGTAACATTATACTTTAAAAGATGCTAAGCCAAAAAGAGTTAAAACGACAAAAGTACTTCAACCTTTTTTAATTGCAACGGTATCGAATGGAATGTTGTTCGCGTAAAACACGTGCCATAAAAAGCTACCATTCCCATGCATTCAAGCATCACCAGAAAAGGGATCAATTAAGGGGACTTTTTAGTCACCTGTGGCTTCCATATATTACCTAGGGGTCAGGTCATAACACCGCAATTATCATTAATTTACCAAAAACTTTTAATGAAAAGATCGTGTTTATTTCAAAGACCAATCAAACTTTCATGAAAAGTACGAAATTTAAACCAATTCAAATGGAAACAAATACCCATCCGCAGTCGGTCCCTTCAATTAAAACAGCATCAAATGGTTGACAATAAAATAGTAGCGTATAGTTTTCTTCTCATTTTCTTTTTTGTTTGTCTCTGAAATCAGAATATAATTACCGAGTGGAAAACATTCCTGGGTCAAACTCGATGAATATTGGTAAACAGGGCGATTTCGGAAAAATCATTCGAGCAGCAAAAAGCAATTAATTCATAGCAAGAAGATAAACGGATTAAATTTTTATGGATTTTTCAAAGATTTTTCCTTGTCAAGTACTTTGTCACCTGTGATAATTGATACAGCATGTAAATCTTCGCAAAAGTAACAAACTTTTGAAGGCAGGAAACGGCACCTGTTTAATTGTTTCTTTTGAAGTGATAAAAAACAATTCAAATCAATAAAAAATAAATCTATAAAAATATGTTTTTCATATATTTATAATGATAGAGCCTGAAACAGTGATTGCCTTTTCCCAGTATTTACTGAAGTGTTAATAGGAGAAAGACTTACAGGTTGTATGTTTAAGCCTGGTTCGAGCCAAATGTTACCTCAAACAGGGGTTCAAGCCAAATGTAAACAAGCCAAATGTTACCTCAAACAGGGGTTCAAGCCGAATGTTACCTCAAACAGGAAGGTATAAGGCACTGTGACTAACAATTGTTTCATCTGTTCACTAAATTATATAACTAAGTGCTCTATTTCTTCTTAAGATTGTACAAAATCTAAAAATAGTCAAGTAGCAAAAAGTTAAGAGCTCTCAGATTTATTTGGACGGGTTAAGAGTCACAGTGACACTGCAAACTTCATATAGTGACTTTCTATTTATTCTGGTAGCAGATAAACATTCAGGCACAAGTGGGATCCCAGCACAAGCAGGCACCTGAACACAATCATCAAACTACCATAAAGTAGCCAGTTAGCTTCTTGGCGTGACAGAATTTTGAAGTCCCCGGTGGGACTCTCACAAAACAGTGAGAGGCAAGTGATCTTAAGTCAGGGGTCATAACTCCTCTGTCACAAAGGCACTCCTAGCAAAAAACAAAACAAAATATGGCTAAAGCAGAAATTAATATTATCAAATTGTGTAACGAATATTATTTTATATAGTGAACTGGTTCCATTGGTTACTGAAGGGATCAATCATTTTTTTCAGGCATTTTTTTTTCACACACAAGAAAACACATGGAATAAAATAACAAATCTTTAACCAACTACCTGGAAAGCTTCATCTTATACTAACTGCACTAAATTCAAAAAAAAAATTTCTCTCTCTTGAAAACTCCCACAAAACCAGAACAGAGTCAAAATCGTCAGCAAAAAATTAAAAGAAGAACAAAAATTCTATGACTTTTCATTAACCAACAGCTTAAATGAAACAACAAAAAACAATCAAAGAACCCCATAATTTCTTCTTGTTAGGAAGAAAAAGCCATAAATCTCCCAAATATATACATGTTCATCTCCAATTATAGCACTGTCAACAGTCATATACATTCTGTATTTCAGTTTTTTCTTACACCCAAGAGATCCTTTACACTTACAGTTATTGAGAAAAACGAACACATTTTCCTTCCATTTTCTTCAATATATCAACAATCCCTACGAAAAACAATCACTTTTATTGATGCCCCAGACTTAAACAAAAATAATAATTTATATTGTCTTTAATCAGTTTTACAGACACTTTAATAAGATTAATTCTTTTTAAAATACTGGAATTTCTCTCTTTTGCGCAGACAGTGTTTGTATTAGAAAATTTCCTGTACTTTGTTATGTTTACTTACAATTGGGTACATTTACTTACAATTGGGTACATTTATTAACAACAGAGTACATTCACTTACAGTTGGGTACAATTACTTCATTTGGGTACTTTATAATTAATACTTGGTTTATCTTCTTTCAACTGAGTGCATTTATTTACAATTGGGTCCTTTAGTTGTATTTGGTAGCATTTACTACTTACAACTGAGTGCATTTACTTACAATTGGGTACTTAACTTACACTTGAGTGTATTTACTCAAAACTGGGTTCATTTACTTTACAGTTGGGTTCATTCACTTAAATTTGTGTACATTTACATCTGATTTAATAAAAAATTGTTATCAGCACAAAAAATTTCAGGAAAAAAAAACAACAAAACGCTGCCTTTTTTTCAGGCTGTATAAAATTTGCTGCCCACTTTTCAGACTGTTTTAAATCTGTTTTTTATATGTACACATTTACAGTAATCTACGTCTCTTCTGAGACAATGAATTTCATCTATTGATATAGCCGCAATAATTTCAATATTTCATATCTCCTAAACAATAAAACAGAATAATTAACCCAAACTGCCTTTCATAAAATACCATTTATTAACCATACAATTCCAAAGATTGGAATATCTGGAAATTATAGTATCATTTCAAAATCGTTTTCGATTTTATTTTAATAGTTTGTAAAATTTTGAAAAGACAATTTGTCTTGAATATTACTTAATAATTGCAAACAATTTTTTTGTATTTCCGAATTTTAGATGGGTAAATATTTCAATAACACTCAGATTATTGCAAATAATTTCACTATTAGGGAAAAAAAAACCTTGTTATTATGTAGTTATTTTAACAGGAATACATCCTACTCAAGAAAAATAAATGACGCTGAAGAATAAATCATAGAGTTAATGTCTAAATTGAACACAGACAGGATTCTGCACAGTGAATTGAACCGCAATTCTCATGTTTTGGAGAGGATTCTGTACAGTGAATTGAACTCTAACCTGTTTCTGTCATATTTTGACTGAATTAACATGGAAGATTATTCTGTGAACTCAACATAAATTTGATAAATGGATTCCATGCAAATTTTAGAATCCATGGTCAGTGAATTCTTAATAGAATACCTGGTCTAAATGTAGAATATTTAGTGCCCAAAACTGTTTTGTTTTTAAAATACAATTTAGTCTAGCATATTCCACACAGTGATGTAATATCCAAATAGTGACCAAATTCCACTCAACATTCAACACAGTTTGCACAATGAGAAATCTTATCACTTACTAGATTCCATACAGTGACTTTTTGTATTCCATACAGTGATATTTTTATCATAAATTCCACCATGTACATGTAGTTTAATTTCTTAAATCTATAAAGAACATAAAAAACATATCAAACATAAGACCAATTCTTATCAATAAAGAACAAGAGAAAAAAAAAACACACACACAGGCCATCAGAATTCCACACCTAACCTGCTACTTTAAAAAGTCAATCCAATTGGAACATTTTGACAGATTCTGTAAAGGAAAAAAAAGGAAGATGGCAAAAAAAATGTTCAATTAAAACAATTTATATCCAATCCTGTCAGGGAATTAAATGAAACAAACGTGCCTTATTGTCCTCGAAATCTCTAAGTGCAGTTTTCTCATAAACCCATTAATTAGTGCGTGAGTCACATGGCCAAAACTAATTAATCCATCGACCAATTATAATTAGACAAAGAACTGTGAACTGTTGTAACGCCTTGGAAAGGAAGTGGGGACTTGGCTGATCCGTAAAAAGCATTAATTGCTTATTGATTTCATTTTGTTTCATTAATTACGTTTTATGCATGAAAAATGTAAATTTCTATGGAGGGTTAATTATTAATGCTTTGTTCAATGTTTTAGCCGAGGCTTAATTCTTGTTCAATTATGAAAAGCGTATCCTATTTCTTTTAATAAGGTTGTTACGTAAGACTTTTTTCCCCACTGAAGTCCATAAAATCTGCAAATGTTGTCTGCAATTTCAATGACAAATTTCAACTTTGCATATAACTGTCTTTTTCAAGATTTCATGAAACAATTTAGAAAAAAAAAAATACTGCTTCATCCAATGCAGTTACAGGCTCACTGTTATTGTTTCTTTTAAGATTTCACCTAAGTTTGAATAGAGTACAGACCAACCTTTTATAAAGGCCACTTTAAGAAACGAAAGAAAAAAGAACTTTTCTTGGCAAGAGCTCTATTAATTCAATTTAATTATCTTAATAGATCATCAAAAAAAAGAGAGTATAATTTTTTTTTCTTTTACAGGTTTCACAATATTCATTTTAGTTATGACACAAATTTGCTTGCATTTATGAGTTTTAAAATACACAATTTACTTTCAATAACAGACTGTGAATCAATTTTGTTTTAACTGTAATAAATAACACATACATAAGTTTGAAAACCAGTCTTATATGAATCATAAAATCTGATTGGTTAATTGTGAATTTTCATATTCAAATTATCCAATTACAGACCAGGATTCTTAGACTGGTCTTTAAACTTTAGTTTTGATTTTATTTCAGACTTTTTTCTGAGAAAGATACCTATGTACATATAAACACATTGATGATATAGGTAGAACTTTTCATGTTCAAGACCTTTATTTATTTATTACATATATGTATAATTTACAAAAAAGAATCATACCTTCTACGTAAAGATGTCAACTGTTTATGTACATTCCAATAAACTTCTAATCAACATTACTTTTCCTGAAAATAAAATAAAAATAAAATTTGAAAGCATTCCTTTAAGTTTCATAGAAATAATGTAATTTAGTTTAAAATCAACACAGTTTTTACATAATTAATGGATAAATATTACAAAATAAGATATTAGGAAAACATCATAATACAGCAAAACTTGATTTAAAGAACACTTCCTTAACAGATTAAATGAATTTATTATGAGTTAATAGATTATTTCAACACATAGACATGCAAACACAATTTTTTAGAAATTTTGAGATGTCATGATATACTTTTCATGTTGTGAATTTTAATTTGTTACATCTTTTAATGACCAGAATGGTAACAAAAATTCTATATTTCACTTAATTTTATACAGTGTGATATGAATTATATCTCATTGATTGTTATCAGTATCTCATTGGAAAGCCTTGGATAAATATATCTTTTCAAGATAAACCACTGATACACTGATCCTAGCTGCCTTCCAACAATAAAGAATTAAATTTACACATTTCAAGAAATATATAAATTAAACATCTACAATTGTCATACATAGGTTTCATTAAGAAGTACAAAATAAAATCAGGAAAGAAAAATAAAATCTACCTTTAAGCATACAATTTTACAATGACATAAAAATTATTCCACACTTAAATATTTTTTTGCAGAACCAGAACTTTTTTTAACTTCAACTGTTGTACCCTTTTTTTCACTATTTTTATCTTCTTTCATAATGTACTTGTTAACATATTAAATGATGAGTATAAATTGAGAAATCTTTGCATGTTTAAAGTAAGAAACATTTATTTTTCTACCGCCATAAAACAAAGAATGCACCCAATTGCAGACGAGCTTTTTCCTTACTTTACAAAGTCATCACGCGTTTTAATTTTCATTGCAGATAGATTGTCCCGATGCGTAATTTAGAAAAATATACCCTCCACCATATAAAACAACATTTAGGGCGTGAAATATTGTCAAATAATTTCATGAAATTCTTTGATGAAAATTTGCAAATTGCTACGTAATTCTAGGGTTAATTATCTTTAATACATATCCATGTAAAGTTTATTACAGTCTAATTTCCTAATTGCCGAGTTATTATGTTTTGTTATATACGACATGTCGATGTCTCAGATCTTTCATATAAGAAGACGATTTTATGAAGTTTCAGGTGTGATTTAAGATTTGTCGTAAACTTTTCCTTCTGAGCGATACAAATTATTTTTGCACTAGAATAATAACAAACATTTTTTTCTTTAATTAAACTATTGCATCACACGTTCTAAGTTTTAATTCATTTTTTGTCTAATATATGCAATAAACCACATCCTACATACGTCCATTCAGACAATGTTCAAAATAATATACTCAAATCAAATCATCCAAAATTTAAGAACAACCACTGTTTGGAACAAGCATGTCTACAAACATATCCCTTTCCCCACCCCCTTTTTTTTCTATAATAAAACTTTCACAATACCTTTAAACTACCGTACTGTGCTTCTTAACAAATCACAAGCACTTGTGTAACTCTCAGTGTTTTATAATAACACACTTAATAACGGCACCATTTTCTTTCACAAAACATTGAAAATGAACATCCAATAATTTTCAAAACTTTCCATTTAACTCCTATTGAGAACAAGAAAAAATGGCAATCAAGTTAAAATAATGACCACTGATTTTCCCTTCCAGCAGCCCCTAATCACAACAGAAAATTCCATCTAATTAAAATCATTTGAAAGCTGCACCCTAGTTAAGTGTGAGAAAGTAATAACGAAGGGTCACATCGGTAGCAGAATCCCTCTCAACGAGAAGGGCATCATGTTACCTTTAATATGAACCACATGGTCGTGGCGGAACATAAATCACCATGATAACAAACTCTTCTCTACAGATAATGTATATCACATCAGCTTCTGATTCCTTATGATTTGATGAAATCTTATTCTAGGATTTATCTTATTATTAATTCTAGGATTTGTAAACATTAATTCTTGGATTTGTATAAAATTAATTCTTGGATTTGTCTAATTTTAACTTCATCTTCTGTCTAAATTTTATTCTATGATTTATCAAATTATTAATTCTAGGATTTGCATAAAATTAATTCTAGGATTTGTCTAAGTATTAACTCCATATTCTGTCTAAATTTTATTCTAGGTTTAATTATTAATTCTAGGATTTGTTCAAAATTAATTCTAGGATTTATCTAATTATCAATTCTAAAATTTGTCTTATTATTAACTCTAGGATTTATATAAAATTTATTCTAAGTTTTATCTTATTTTATTCTAGGATTTGTCATCATTTATTCTAGAATTTGTTAAAATTTTATTACAAGATTTGTCTAAATTTCATTCTAGAATTTATCTAATTATTAATTCTAGGATTTGTATAAAATTAATTCTTGGATTAGTCTAATTATTAACTCCATAATCTGTCTAAATTTTATTCTAGCATTTGTGACATTATTTATTCTAGAATTTGTTAAAATTTTATTCTAAGATTTGTCAATTTTTAATTCTAGAATTTGATGGAATTTTTTTTCCGGATTTGTTAATATTTCATATTAATTCTTGGATTTGTCGTATTTCTTTTCAAGGAATTATGTAAAAATACATGCATAATTAATTTATTTAGTTATCAACTCTATGATTAAAGAAGTTTTATTCTAGGGTCTGTTAAAATTGAGTCAATGACTTGTTTAGATTTGTTGATACAATGTGTCTTTAAGAATTTAAATTCTAGAATTTGTCAAAATTCTATTTTATAATTGTCTAAATTTTATTCAATGGTATAGTTAATAATTTGTTAAAATTTTATGCAATACGGTTAAAATGTTTTAATGATAGGTCTATATATGTTAATTCTAGAATTTGACACAAGAAAAAAAATTATTTTGTCAGAATTCATTTAAAAATTGTCAAAATTAATAATTCTAGAAATTGTCATAATTTGTTCAATTATTTGTCAAAATAATATCTTTTGAACTCTATGATTAATCAAAATATCATTTTATGCTATGATTATGTCAAAACGTATTCTGTTAAAAAAGACTCTTTATATAATTTATGATTTTGTTGAAATACATTTTATTACAATTCTAAACATTCTAAGATCTCTTCCTTATTCATCATATGATTTGTTAATTAATTTCATGAATGTTAATATATAATGCATATATTTCTACAGGAATTTATTTACAAGTTTTACATCAAATTTCAAAGATCTCATAGCAGGGAAATAAGATATTACTGTAATATCACATAACCACAAATCTCAATACAAATTATATCATCTAATAGATATATTATTATGATATAACATTTCAGAAAAAAACCCAAAATGTTTGGCTGTTTCTAAAAATAGCTGCAAGGTTATCCCTGGATTCAGACTATGTCGTATCTTGAAATGAAAAGATATTTTTCATTATTAATAAACTGTAAAGAATTAATTCCTCATAGTGTTGATTAATAAAGTTGTTTATAAATTGAGTGAGCACGCAATATCTGTAAATATGCATCAATATAATTGGATGTGCCAGAAAATTAGCTAATAAATAAACTTTTTCCGATTTATCTCATAAACTGCCAAAAACCATCAAAATTGCCTATAAACAAGCTTTCCTGGAAACTTGCACAGCATGATTTTGAAGTTTCTTAATTTTAAAACTCATTAAAAATGTTTCATTGAACCTGGGGATAAATCTGTGAAAGTGGTATTGGAAACAAGCAAACATTCTCACAATTTTCATGCTAAATTTAAACCTATCTGAAAACAGGAAGTAAGCAAGAGATTTATTTTCTTGAAAACACTTGGGGTTCCTGCAAAAAGTGGGCGGGGCTACCTATAAAATATGTACCAATAATGTTCACTTGAGTCTACAGTGCAAGTGAAATATTAAATTTAATGTTTTCAAGCCTGGCTGATACACCTTTCAAACACTTGCAGGCTTTGTATTTTCTGGAATGTTGAGAGGACATTTATAAAGAAATACCTAAGATCATAAAAACAAAATAAAATGTACATTTAAATACCAATAGAAAGTTTTGAGCTACCGCAAAAATATATACCATATCATTGTCACAGATTTGATAAAAAAATCTGTTTTTTCATTTCATCAGATGACTTTATTGTGCCATCATGGCCTCAAGTGTAGGCCATCATGGCCAAATGTGTTAGTCATCATGGCCAAATGTGTAAGCCATCATGGCCAAATGTGTAAGCTATTATGGCCAAATGTGTAAGCCATCATGGCCAAATGTGTAAGCTATTATGGCCAAATGTGTAAGCCATCATGGCCAAATGTGTTAGCCATCATGACCAAATGTGTAAGCCTTCATGGCCAAATGTGTAAGCCATCATGGCCAAATATGTAAGCAATCATGGCCAAAGTGTAAGCCATCATGGCCAAATGTGTAAGCAATCATGGCCAAATATGTAAGCCATCATGACCAAATATGTAAGCAATCATGGCCTCAAGTGTAGGCCATCATGGCCAAATGTGTAAGCCATCATGACCAAATGTGTAAGCCATCATGGCCAAATGTGTAAGCCATCATGGCCAAATGTGTAAGCCATCATGGCCAAATGTGTAAGACATCATGGCCAAATATGTTAGTAATCATGGCCAGAGTGTAAGCCATCATGGTGAAATGTGAAACTCTTACAGCTTGCTGGCTGAATCTACCCTTGCAACTATTGCAAACCAAGATCAGCCCACATATCCGTGCCATCTGATCATGATCTGTACTGTTTGCTGTTCACAGTGCTCAGCCTGACCTTGTAAAAATTTGGCAGGACTGGTTCTTACTTTTAATATTTAAACTATTACTTGTTCATAAATTTAATAAGAAAAATCACGAAACTTGTTTTATTGAAATCTTAAGGAATAATTTTCTGGCCAATCAACACCTTCTATCACTGAACAATAATAATATGTTCAAATTTGCTGACCAATTTTTTTTTCTGGAAACTCACAAATAACAACAGCAGCAGCAGCAGCAGCAACAACA